ATTAAGTTAAATTAATGTAAATAAGTCCATAAGATGAACTACAGCCCAAAAACACTTTTTAGAGTGTAACAGATGTGCTTGGGGCTGCCCTGCAGGTGCTGCCGCCCTGGGGCCTCGACCTCCCTCTCCCTGCAGTGATGCTGATCGCCGTCAGTCTCTATATGATGGTTCTGGGGGTCGGGCTGTGGGTCCGCTACTGCCTCAAGGTTGGTTCTGATGACTCGTTGGATCAGGGTTGGTTCTGATGGTGCCCTGCTTTAATATTCACACCCTGAACAACCATCAGAATACGGTTCTATTGGGTTTTTGAACCAGAAAATAATTTTTGGTTTTCGACAGTTTTACAAGTAAAAGCCTGAAAAGTGTGGCAGGCATCCGTCTTCCGCACTCCTCTCCCCTGGTGTTTCCACGGCAACCTTTGGTCTGAAGCCATCCAGCTGGTCTGATCAGGAGGCAGAAGCGTGACTCAGACGATGCAGCGCTAATGAAGAATGATCAGACTTTAACTAGACACCTGAGGCCTCATGTATCAAACACTGTGCAGTTTTCACACTAAAACTTGGAGTTCGGACAAATTTAGAAAAGAAAATCTGGATGTATAAAATCGTACGCACACTCTCATAGACAGTATAAGATACAAACCATCCTCTTACAATCATAACATTTAAAAAACTGAAAACAACCTTCATTACTAACAACCGATTCCAAAACTATACCGTATAAACCAAAAATCACAATTCCAGTTGATCAATATTAGAAATACCCTATTAATAAATTAAACGTACCTTGTGCCTCTGTCATGGGGGCCTCTAATAATAAGATTTATTTATAACACTGTTGCAACTTTTCTTCTGTTCTCTCTGTTGCCAAGCAGCCGCTGCACAACACAAACAGCGGAAGCTCTCCCATCAAAATAAAAGCATTAAATTCAAAAACCAGAAGTCAACTAACAAAATAAAGGCAATAAACGCTAAAAAAGAACACAACAAATAAGGAGCTTACCCTGGGGTTATTTACAATATATTTTATTTAAAAGGTGTTTTCAGGGCACAAAAATAATAAATAAGAAACCCTCCAAAGTAAAGAGTAAAGCTGACCGGGTCTGACCTGCTGCAGCAGCAGATCCTCCGGGTC